GGGAGGGGGGGCTGTAGAATGAGATGGGTGGTGTGGCTACAGATGGGGGTAGGGGATGGGACTTTAGGTGAAAATGAGGGTGGTGCTACAGGCAGGGATATCTTCTAGTGAAAACTATGACGAGACATCTACAGGGTAGGATGGCCACTGTTTTACAACTGTACCACAGTTAACCGTTAATTATACAATGAGCCATCCATGCATGCAAGTTATCTGTTATTGTCGTATGCGTTTAATCGTCCGCAAAGATCAACTTGATTCTTTGTTAAACGTAACTATCTAACGGGCTGCTACGACCCATTGCCAACAGGTATTGTATGACGCCAACGCCCCATGACATCATTGCATTTCGGCGGAACAAAATATGTTGCGTAACGGTTGTTTGAAACGTTTAAGAATTACATGTCGGTAATGGACGTTCGGCGATTTTGTGTTTCGCCTATCGCATCCTAAAAGAATAGATAAAATGTATACATATATCATTTGTTTTCTGTCTATGAAGGTGATTTCTTATTTTAGCTTTTTATTTTTGTTTTGTTTTAGATCGCACCTTCTGTAAGATTATGACTAACAAATGACCTACATGATGGTATGGAATATTCAATACAACTTACCGGCATAGCAATCCATTAATTCCTCTTCCGTTTTTCTTAATGTCCGTTTGGTCCGCGCATGCCTATGTTTAAGGTCTGTGTGGTTTTGCTTTAAAGCGTTCAAAGCCTTTTCTGTTTTGTTAAACTTATAGATATAATATCCCAACTCCTCCTTTAGATTCGCCTCCGAGCGAACAAGTGTATAAAGCTGGATCTCCAAGGCCCGGAGTTTGGTCTCGGAAATGTTGAGGTCCTCGTTGGCCACCTCGAGCCTCGCCGACTTATCCTTGAGTTGGTTCTTTAATATGTAGCCTTCTCTCTGTAATGTGGCTGACTTGTGCTCAACCAGAATCAGTTCCTCCCCGGTATCGAGAAGGTCCTCCTGGGCCTCCCGTAGGACGACAATCGTCTCATTGTATCTTGCCTCCTTCTCGAGGAGCGCCATTGTCTTTTCCCTCAATTCTTCCCGAAGAGTTGAGAACTCTCGACTCAACCGGGACAGCAAAGAGGACTCAGTCCGGTTCGGAGCCTGTTGGATCGGCCCCTGTCCCGGGACATCGTTGTTGAAGGTACCGACCTCACCCCCGGGGTTCCGAGGTCCAGAAGGTACCGCATCCCTGAGAAGTTTCTGTACAGATGCTTCTAATTCGAGGATTCTATCCTCGTGGTTCGTCTTGACCACCTCAAGGTCGGATTCCGATACACGCACGTGCTGGTTAGAATTGTCATTCTGTTGGTCACTGTAGTTAACTCCCCCTGGTGAGCACTCTCCTTTCTGATGTGACAGAAGTATGTTATACGTGCACTGGCCGTCCTGTAGGACACACTGGTTGGCCAAAGTTTGAACCAATACTATCAACACTATACATGTATACTGTATACAGATTTTACACCCAAGCCGTAAAAACATATTCAATCTTCCTATACAAACAGTTGATTCCGATGAAACTTTCTGCACACATTTTCCGAAGCCTATGAAAAAAGATCCAGTGCAACAGTTACCGGGGCCTTAAGTGTAGTGAGTGAAGCAGTGGTGTCGGTAGAAATCATCTCCATCTCGACCTACCTATGGTTAATAGGCCCGCATACCCCGCGACAAATCATCGCTTTAATAGCGCAGCTCACTTTTATACCAATAAGCAGCAATAGGCTGGAAAGTGGGTCCAACACCTAATACATTTTGTCACACTTGTGTACACCTATTGGTAGGGTGTATTACAGATAACAATGGACTGGGCAGACAGACACACACCGTCACAAAGTTAAGTATACCGGCAGAACTGTTGTACTTACTTATCTTTTACTGCTGTATATATTATAATCTATACAAAGGGATATAAATTTGAGAGCGTCTGTAAGGAAAAAATAACGTTTTTTACACTAAATATGTGCAGAAACATGTACTTCTTAAGGCCATTTTTTTGTGAGACAGGTTCGCATTCACCACGATTTAGCTTTATAAAAGTTGAATGTAATGATTTGTAACTTATCGTAATTAAAAATAAAGAACATTGTACCTTGCACCGGTAACATTAATCCGGTGCATACCGTTCACATACTATGGTCTGACGGGTTGTGTATAAATATTTGTATTAATCATATTTAAAAATGCTCACGTGTGAGATGATATCTCATTATCATGACAAACGTGCGTATTAGATTACACACGCTACATATCTTCAGTTGACAGCACCATAGAGAACAAACGTGTTAAACAGGACTAATCGATCTCGGACCACTATTATTGTGGTTGTAATATAAATTTAAATACATTTCTATAATCAGATTGTTCTGAAATGTGATATTACCTGCTATATATCACCCATTGTGACGTCACAAAAGAACAATACAATGACGTCAGAAATTTGACTGCACTCGATAGTGTTTTCTTCATTTTCCAGTCTAAATATTTACCAAATGTGCATTTGAAAATGCTTTGTTGACTATATGATAACAAGAATGTAAAACTCGTTCTTATCATGCAAACCCATGCAGGTTGAGAATCGAGAAAAGAATACACCTGCTGTTACCTACGGCATGTATCGTAAGAGATGACTAATTCGCGAACCCCCTGAAAAATTGGGAATTTGCTTATGTGCCCTCTACTTGGGGACACAAAAGCGAAAAAATAAATAAGCTGCACCAATTGCAACGTTTGGGGTCTTTATCTTTCTTTCTACTTCTATCTACATTTTATTTCCTAGCCCCTTGCTTCCCAGGCCGAGACATACCAAAGTCCTTAAAAAATGGTAGTTGCTATTCCCTGCTTAACGTTCAGCATTTAGGGTAATGACAACAACTGGTTCACCCGTTGTCAGCATACTGTGACCGGGCGAGACGCTGTGCTGGTTGTCTTCGGCATGGTTTTTCAGTAAAATAACACTTTAAGGTCAGCATCAGATCCGCGCTATCACAAGGAGACAAGTACACCAACATATCCTGTCTCAGGTAAACATACACACCTGCACGCTTACACAGCACACATGGAGATACGTCCTTACATGACCTCAGCTGTTAATAGCCTAGGACGTCAAACAGAATAAAACAAAAAACAATCTCATCATTTATGTATATTAATATTTGCTTAGAAGGCAAATGTTGTTATGAGGCTATAACAACATTTGCTATTGTGAACATTTGCTATTGTGACGTCATCAATTTTATTGTCAACACTTGATTTGCTGTTCAAAAGCTGTTCGAAATAACGAAATAAAGCAAAACTACTCTATCAAATGTAAATGTAAATAATGAATGTTTAAAAGAATATTGTTATGGTCCTGTAACACACGTTTCTATTGCTATTGCTATTGCTATTACATAAAGCCCTATCGAACTTAGTCAAGTTTGTTATCAATAGCAATGTGTGTTATAGGACCATAACAACATTTTCTAAAACATTCATTGCTTAAATAACATGTATTGCTATCAATTTTGTAATACTTAGTATATACATCTACATAGAACATTGTGTATACCGGGAATATCACGCATCTGTCACACGGTACAATAACGGTATACACTTTGTATATCACATATAAAGTGTAACAGGAATAGAGTATCATTTTATATACCTGGTATATAACTTTTTGTTCATACCGTCAGTAAGTCTGAAATGATTTTATACACGTGTTACCGACAGTAAGCTAGGTATATTCATTGCACATCAGACCCTTACACAAGTACCACCCCGTCCCTATTCACGAAAACTGTTGATGCATCTAATTTACAGCAGCTAACACCTATAAAAACATTAAATGATGGCGGTGACCCGGATAACGTCTGATGTTTCCTCATCTGTCATACCAACCTCATCCTCCTCGTCTATCACATCTACTCCATCCGTCATCGTTATTACGAGGATGACTGATCGTGTACCGGCCTCCAGACAGCCACCTTGTATCAACAGTTTTTAAAGAAAAAGGAGCGGTATTCTTGTTTTATAGTTGTTGAAATGATAGCGTCATCCTGTCACAAAAGTATAAATGGAGGTAAAATAATATAATGTGAATTCTTTAAACCCATTTTAAAAATAATAAAAAGCTTTTTACATATGTGTAACGTATCACACATTTTTACAAAATATACACAAATTCATAAATATCGTGCTACATCAATAAAAAATGTCCAGTCACTAATTGGTTTGCGAGATACAAGAGTTTATATTAACACAAAGATTCCTAAAAATATGAGCAAGTTGAATTAAGAACGTCTTCCCCCATAGCTAAACATATTACTTGATTTGAGTATGTAAGATGTCACAGATCATTTCAAAATGTTAAATTTCCGGTATAATATTTCTGAAAATATCCCTCCTGGTCAAATAATAAAGTATCCCTTAGATCAGTATATAGATCACATTAACAGACGAAACGGACACGGACAGCTTTGGTTGTTGGTTGTTCACAAAAACAGCTCACAATGAACTTTGTTTCTCTGAAAAGTTAACTTAGCTTTCGTACTCTAACGGACAGACGTTGTATGACCCTGACACTTGTTTATGGGTCACAACGGGTCAAAAGCAGCTAGAAGGAAATTTGAAATGTCAAAATTGATGACAGGTTTTATTACTTGTGTCACTAAAAAATACAAAGGTGCAACAGAGGAGACTAAATGACACGTTACATTTATACTTGAGCAGCTTTGTCGGACTTGCCAACGTGAAAACTATAACCGTTAAATATGTATAAATCAAAACTGCAAAAGTTACTTCTATACATGTACAGTTAACAACTGGTGTGTATTACAGTTTCTCACGTCAACATGTACAATGGCGGACTCAAATTGGACTTGACCTTACAAAATAAAAAAAACCCATAAAGACGAAGCATGCCTACATCTGGTTAGCTGTTGAAGACCGTTTTGTTAATGTTTGTATTTGAAAAACGTAATTAGTATGGTTTACCGTCGTTTACTAGTAGACAATCTATATATAATGAAACTGGATGTGATTCTCTAGCCCATCGGAGATCCCGTCGAAAACTTCAATTATTTTTTTAAATCCGCAATAATATTGCTCTTACTATCTCAACACTCTACTCCCTTCCCTTGTCGATAACTCTCACTATAATCTTCGAAACGTTGAAAACTACAACCTACCTAACAACAGACTTGAATTATCTAACGTATCCTTTTTTCCCCCTCTACTGATAGACTGTGGAACCAGTTATCTACTAGTATACGACGTAGTGCCACGTTCTCATCATTTAGAAACGCCATTCAAGACGTAAACTTGCCTCTTGTACCAAATCCCAATTTTTATGGTGATAAGAAAAATAATAACCGTTGTAGTACTTTGAAAAGTGACCTGTTTCGTGTTAACCTTATTGATTACCAATGTTGTATACGTGGCTTCACTATTGAAGACACGCACCATTTCTTTTTTACCTGTGATAAATATAACGAACAAAGAATTAAGCTTTATCGTTAACTGAATATGCCACTTAATTTAAATCTACTTGTATTTGGAGATACATTTCTTAAGGAACAGGAAAACATAACGATATGCATGCATACTCAGCAATACATTCGTGACTCTAACATATTTTAGTAACCCCCTTCATCTTCCTCTCTCTCCCTCTCTCTCAATTGAACCATAATATCCACTCTCTCTATAAGAGGCAGATACTATATGTCATACATTAATAATGATGAGGATGTATGTATTATAATTACAGACTATTATCCCCCCTCTCCCCCCTCTCCCCCCCTTTCTCTCTCTGTCTCTCCCTTATAATTTCAATTTATAAATTAAAGCATTTAAAAATGAAATAGTGTATATATGCATATTAATTCTGCCATCTTGTTGTACTATTGTAAATATATGCTTGTAATTTGCTGGGAAAGGGCTTAATATAAGTTTGATAACTTGTGCCCAATCCATTTGCTTGGCAATAAAATATGTTTAAACTAAACTAAATTTTTTTTTATTAAAAAACGCAATTATTAAATGTGCGTGGAATAAGGTAAATATTGTTCGAATTCATTGCAGGCGGGAGATGTTTGATTCAATCACAAAACATTAAGCTGAGAATGCTTAAATCTTTCTGAAAAATAATGATTGGTAGATGTTTAACTCCATCAGAAATCATTGACGGGGTTAATTTCTCTCAGAAAAAGTTATCTGAAATTGTTTTTACTCTATTCAAAACCATTGGCCATTATAAGCAGAAACATTGGTCCGGGAATGTTTATTTTATCAGAAACATTGGTCCGGGAATGTTTATTTTATCAGAAACATTGGTAGGCGGATGTAGTATGTAGATAATAAAAGTAGTAAGATGATGTTTAATAGAATCAGAAAAAAATATTGGGAAGAGTTTTACTGTTTGAGAAACCATTAGCTGCAGGGGATGTGAATGTTTTAGTTTATGAAAGTATTTACCTGGGGATGACTTACTCTTTCAAAAAACATCGGTCGGAAAATGTTCATTGTATCAGAAAAAGCGACCAAGAATATTATTTAGTAGAAAACATTGGCCATGAATATTTTTAGAAATCCTCAACAGAGGGTGGGGGTTACTCTTCAGTGTATCAGAAGTCAACGTGGGGGTGTTACTCTTCAGTGTATCAGAAGTCAACGTGGGGGTGTTACTCTTCAGTGTATCAGAAGTCAACGTATACACTTACTGTTCTCTATAACTGTGATGCCCACATATATTGCTAATCCTAGGATACAATGAAATCATTACTGACGTATCAATCACGGACTGTAGCGCTTTTCTTTGGCAGCTTCTTAGGGGGAGTTGTTGAAT